GTGCTTGAATTCCCTGAACGCTTTATGTAATTTTAATGATAGACTACGGCTAAGACTCTTGGAAATCAGTAACGTATACATAAGCGCAGTCACACGACACAATGCTTGCAATCAAAAAAGTTTCAACACGAAAGTCCCAAAAAGCGGAAAAAAATTCACCCTGGAGGTCCAAGCCGATTTCAATTTTGAAAACATATTTTAACTCCTTATTCTCTTTTTTCGTTACGTAGGAAATGGATTTTCGATTTTTATGTATCGTTTATAATTGGTATAGTAGCCAGTAGGTAACCAAATGAATTTAGTTTTTTTTTCAAAATTCTCTTTTACTGTAATGTTACTAAAAAAAAAAAAAATCGAAGATCCATTTAAGTATATTTTTTTTTATTCCGCTTATTGATCTAAATGCACGAAAAAACAACCGGTTTCCAACAGCCTTAATTTTATTGTTTTTTGTTTATTATGTACCTATAACCTATTAACTATTAAGAAAAGTACTGGGATTTTTTATTTTCTATTGGCCCTAAATATACCAACTTGATCCAATTTGATACCAAAAACCACTTTTAAAGTTAAAAATCTATAAGTACCTATTTATTATTTTTTACTGGTCCAAAAGGTGATTATGGACGGAAAAATAACAACACTATATATGTAAAATGTGGGTAGAAATACTTTCTTAAACTAAATACAGATCTGTATTCAGAGATTCTGACTACAAAAATGTATTTAGATTTCAGACAATATATTTAAATACTTTGTGTGAACATAATTTAAATAATTTTGGTTTCAATTATTAATACATATTACATAGGTATTGTATAACTTTTACTTATAAGTTATTAAATATTGCAGACTATTTAGGTTCGGAAATTCCTATATTTGAATTTTTAAATTTTTAAATAATATGCTGAAGCGGTGTCTCAACTATAGATGACTATACCAGAGCAAGGATGCCCGTCGAAGAAACATTAAAACGAACTATCAGAAACCACAGAAAAAAGAAAAATCCTATTGATCCAGCTACACTAGACGAACTTGAAGTTTTGGTAAGTCATCAGGGGTGGCTCCAGAGACATGGTTAGGGGGGGGGGGAGGCAACTAGGCAAGTCGTTATTTTCAAAAAAATTCGATGATTTTTTTTTTTGTAATATTTTATAACAGTATAAAATTGTTTAGAAATACAGCTTGAAGCCACCCCTGTAAGTCATCAATCTTTTGACACCTATTAACGAAATTGAATTAGCCGGTAAGTTGAATAATTATTATTTGTATATAATAATATACTATAGATGTTTCATAAGTAACCACGAATGATATTAAAACCTTATATTAACCTAATATAAACCTGATTTTAAATTTTTAATCTTTAGCTGTAAAAATTAAAGTACAACATTTTAAAAATATTTTGATTTGTCGTGAGATGTTTAAAGACATTTTTAGTTTCCAGTTTCTTATTTTTTTTTTCTATACGACTATAAATGTCAATAAAATTGTATTCGTTGCGTCAAACGCTTGACAATGTTATATAATAAGGCTCCTAATATATTGTTACATTGGCAGTTGAAAAAATATTAAAAATACAGTCACAATTATTTTAATGAGCATTTGAGTTAAAATCAGTTATATACTTATAGTTTTAAAATATTATTCGTAGGTACTTAGTTGAAACTTCAAAATTAAATTATTATATTATCTCCGCTCAGAATCTGAAATGTAATATTACTTAGGTATTTATTTTATTAATTTATGTTTAGACTTTAGAGTGAGTATGGTGTTCTACAGGAGAACCACATAACAAAGTACTGTTACTTTGCAAATGAAAGGGTAGTGATGCTTGCAACACATAAAGGGCTTGTCAATTTAACAAGTTCTTAGAGATGGTATATGGATGGAAACTTTGCTTTGGCTCCAAAACTTTTTACTCTACTGTATGCTATACGTGTTTAAATAAATAGAAGTTTTACAACAGCAGTATACATTCTCTTACAGAATAAAACTTTGATAACTGATGAGTAAATGCTCACTACGCTTTTAAAAAATGTGAAGAATGAAGATCCACATTTATTTATTGATCCTGTTTTAGTACATGTTGATTTTGAAAGTGCAGTTATCACAGCTATCACACATGTTCTCGGACAAGATGTACATATTCAGGGTTGTTTCTACCATTTAACTCAATCCTCCTATCGGAAAGTGTAAGAGTTAGACACAATAGAGAGAAGATCAAAACTTCATTGAATTTTGTGGAAAAATGGATGGATTGGCATTTTTACCGGTTGGAGATGTCAAAGATGGAATGGCATATTTAAAAAATATTGTTCCTGAGGAGGCCGAAATGTTATTAAATTATTTCAATAGTTTGATACAACATATACGTTAATGGCAACTGGCGAGTACAGACAAGTTAGAAATGAAAACAACAGATGTTTAATCAACATTTTTAATTAGAAAATTAAAACTTATGTTTAATGAAATATGACAAAATATAGCAAAATATAAAAATTTGGTTTTTATTTGCATCGTATTTTTTAGTGGTATTTTTTTCCCTTGGATTTTTTTCTGTCTACCTATATTATGTATGATATTGGGTAAAAGTCATTACATTTATCTCAGTATACAAGTGTAAAAAATTAGGTAGGTACCTATATTATAATTTATTATCTATTCATTTTTTTTATTAATGTAATTTATGTACTTGCAGGGTACATACATTTTTGTAAATTAAAGTAATGAATGAAAAATATATCTAAACAGGCAGTGCATTGGATAATTACTTATAAATTAAGTACAAAATTACCATAGATATCATGTGAACTATAACCACCAAAAGTGATAATCAATTATGTGATCTGGAATAAGGAATTTTATTTAATTAATAGATACTCTGTTGTAAATTTGTAATTAAAAAAAGTAAAACAAAATTTAAAAAGAATAATGATAAAAAGGTGCTCTGCTGTACAGTAGGTTACAAGGGGGTCACTGTATAATGGATGGTATTACATTTGAATTCAATGATATTATATCATTGTATAAGAAAAATGATTCTGAGCGGAGACGGATGTCAGTCTAGGTATAAGACAAATTATATACTTATCTATGTTATTACAAAAAAAATTGACGTATAATAAATTCCAAATTAATCATACCTATCACAATATCCATTAGGTACTTATAACGCGTTATACATCAACAACAAACCCTGATACTGTCATAGATATATAATAGTGTACCTACTTTAGAAATTTCAAGTACCCACAAATAATATTATACAATCACAACAAAATAACTAAAATAGTTATTCTAGGTTTTTTATGTAATATCGTCCAAATTTGAACTTAAAATAACTATAAAAATAAACTGCTCATGTATTTTTTTAAATTTTTTGGTAACATAATTAACTATTTACGTGGAATCTTGTTTTAAATTTTCAATCCCTAGATATAAAAGTTGAACGTTTTATAAATTTTTAACTACAAAATAATTATTCAATTTTAAATTTGATACATTTTGTCAAATTTCGATCTTTAAATGCCTATAAAAAAAAATTGTGCCTATGTATTTTTAATATTTTTCAACTGATATTGTAACAATATATCAGGAGTCTTGTATTAAATTTTTACACTTTTTGGCCCCACAGATGAAACTTTATTGATATTTATAGAAAAAAAAACTAAAAAAATTGAAAACTGAAAATGTCGGTAAACAGCTCAAAAAGAGTTAAAATATTTTCAAAATTTTATGGTGTATAGAAAATGCTAATTTAAACATTCAGTGAAATTTTCAAGTATCTACAGTCATTCGTTTTTTAATTACAGCAAAATAAGGAAATCGCTACATTAGAAATCGAGTGAATATCCAATGTAATAAAAATTTGAATATCAAACGCTTTTAAAAATTTAATTTGACTTTCTTATAGACATTTTTTTTTGATAAAGGTAAATAATCTTATAAGGAATCTTGTACTACATTTTTAAACCTTAGTTCACGCCGTCCAGTCTTGTATACTTGTACCCCCTCCATATTACCTATTGTATAAATTTATTACGGATTGTAAATATTCTTGTTTTCTAATAAAAATAAAAGATAAAAAAAAAGTTGTAAGTTTCATCCCTGCTTTCTGTTCTCGTTGTAAATTATTCATTAATCGTCATATTATGTACATATTAATATATTTTACAAACAAATATACTTATTCAGTATGCGGGTACCTGTTTGAGATGTCATTACCACAAATCACAATCCATAATAATATGCACACTGAACATATTGTGACACGTCAATACGTCATTCTTAGAATTTTTAAATCCAATCAATTTTTGATTGAAGGGCAAGAGTACAGGGCTGTGAGTGAGTTGTGGCCCGGCGTGTCGTTTCCGGTGTTGGAGACCAGTGAATTCCGGACCGATAGTATTTTAGCCGTAGGTTAGTCGAGGCCCGACAATATTTTAGGTGATTTGCGGCCCGAATAATTAACATTACCTATGTGCCTATTGGCTAGTAACTATATGTACGATGTACCTGTCAGGTGGCTATACATATAGTGATAAACGAATAACGATGGTTCAATAAGTATGGCAAGTTATATCTTTATATAATATAATAAAGATAATATAGATCGTTTTATTGTATTATGTTCCATATGACTTGCATTAACTACGACAATTGGATAATTTCAAATGGCAAAATGAAATCGTATTTAGTCCGAAATCAATCTTTGTTCGTATAAGTGTGTATCGTTTGTATAATAGTTTGTATAATATATTAATATATTAAACGTATTTGAATATTTCGTCATGGAATTTGTATACAGTGAAAAATCGAAGCCTAAAAGCTACAAATTCCGTTTTTATAAGACACTACAATATGATATACAGGGGTGGCCTTGCTGTTTCAAAAATTGTAAGTGCTTTATTAAATTATCACCTTCAAATATAATAGTTGAGAGTAATACCAATCACGAACATAGGAAATCTGACGAAGAAGTCCTAAACAGGCAAATAATGAGTAATTCTCTGAAAAGAAAAGCTTTAGTTGACATTTCTTACAAATCGTCTAAACTTATTCGCTTGGAATTGAAACATGGTTATATACCGACTTGGACTAACAATGATTTATCATTAATTCGACATAATATTCATCGTGCCCGTCTATCCGTGCATCCCCCTCTGCCTAGCTGCATTGAAGAGTTACATTTTGCTTTGAAATTAAAACCAACATGGGTGAACAATTTTTGTTTGTAAACGATAAAGTAAATTCGATAGTTGGGTTTTCTACTCAACAAAATATAAAAGTGCTATTTGACGTAAAGAAAATATACGTCGATGGGACGTTCAAGAGCTGCCCAAAGCACTTTACACAACTTTTTACCATACATGGCCTTAAAAATGATGCTTATGTAGGTACCTCTTGTGTTTTTTTTACTACCCAACAAGTTAAATACTACGTACACGTGTGCATTTCAACATGTAATTCGTCACTCCATATACGTAGTTGGTATATCGTGCTCTCCTACTGACATTTTTTTATAGATTTTGAATCAGTAATACATAGTGCTGTAGCGGAAGTCTTCCCTAATGCCCAAATAAGAGGATGTCGATTTCATTTGGGCCAAGTTGGTGGAGGAAAATCATCTAAAGTTTAGGACTTACTAAACTATATTTTTTTGGAGCCTGAAAACGTCATTGACTACTTTACTGACGACTTTTTAGCAATACAACCTGCTGAAAATGACCAAATTGTGAAATTTACAGACTACATTTTTGAAAACTATATTTCCCCAGACGCTATGTTCCCCCCAAATATTTGGGCACAATTTACTGCTAGCTGCAACCGTACTACTAACAGCTGTGAAAGTTTTCATTCAAAACTAAATATGTCGTTCTACACTAGCCATCCTAACATTTAGAACTTCGTTGATGTGTAACTAGAAGTTCAATCTGAAACCTACATAAAATTCAGAAGTAAAAGTGTAATAACAAAGAAAATGTGTGAAAAAGAAGCTTTCATTAGATGACAGATGACAAAACTCGAGCTAAAAGAACTAGATAGTTTTGAATTAGTTAAATCGTTAAGTTTTAAGTTTTTGCCAAAACAATAGAATATTATTATCATTATATATTATATTTTAGAAACGCAAAATATTATTATATTTATTACGTTGTATTTTAACCAAAACATAGCTAAAAAATGAAATTACTATACGGTATTATTAATTTACGAATATATATTTTTTATTTTTTTATTATTATTGTCATTATATATTATATTCTAGAAACGCAAAATATTATTATATTTATTACGTTGTATTTTAACCAAAACAATATAGCTATAAAATGAAATTACCATTCGGTATTATTAATTTACGAATATTTTTTTTTATTTATATTCTTGAGATGACAAATATTAATAATATATACGACAATAGGTACTAGAAAATACGTAATATTAATAAATCTATACTGTGATGTTTATATTATACACGTACTATGTATAGTTTATGGGTAATATTATATATGAAGTATATAGATTATTGTATGGCCGAAATTCGTATACTTACCTCTCATAAACCCCTGGCCCCAACTCGTACGTTATTTAGGGTTAGGGCCGAAACTCACCAACATACCGGAGTCTCTAGTCCGTCGCAACGACCAAATTCCAAATTTGCTATTTATTTATTTAATCAGGATTAACTTACTTATCCTTAAATCCTGATCACTGTAACCACGAGTAGGTAAAGCATATTAATCGGTGTCTTGGTGAAATCGGCCTTTAGAATTTTGCTCCGTCAAATTCGGCACCGTGGCCGCCGTATCGAAATTTATTCACTACCTATCTACACACACGGCGATATTCAACGAGCGGATTTCGCGGCAATTATCGATCGGTCTGGCTGTATTATTGTTCTATGATTATACACGGCGATTTTCCAAATGTTTTACTAAATTTGTGACGATGCATTAATGCAACAATAATAATAATAATAATATATTAATAGTAGGTAAAATAAATTGTATACGATTCTATGACGTCATGATCCATATATTACAGTGAAAGACATCCAATGTACAGCAAAGCAAGTACCCACTTGCCCAACTTTTTTCATTTGTGGTTTCAAAGTTGTACCTAATCTGATTTTTTTCAGACCATAAATATGGTTATAAACTTTTTAACTATATGAAACTTCTATACATGTTAATACGTATTATATTATATTAAATTATAATCAAGAGCATTCTTTGATAAAAAGGGTTTTTGTAGAAAATTATTTTTATAATATATTTTTGGGATGGGGGGGGGCATGGTAATATTTAAATATAACATGTGGGAGGCTTTATACACAATCACCATTGTGGTCATCACTCATCAATCAGCTAAATATTAATATAATATCAAATATGAAATAGAAATATAATATTGAAATATACGACAGCATATTTTGTAGAAATTTTAATCATATTGGCAGGTATTCATATTATTATATACCTACGGCCGATGCCCGAGTATTTGAACATCCAAAATATCCCCAGGGATGAGTAGTTTTACTAGACAAAATATTTATGAAATTTTCTTCCAAAAACCTCCATCAAAGTTGATGAACAGACCATTTTTTCTACAAGAAAATTTGAGAAATTTAAGCAGTGCAAACATTTACAAATACATTACCTATAAAAGTCTATAACTATTAAACTGGAAAAAATCAAATTGTAATCCATTTTCAAACCCCACTCCCATCATTGACAAATCCTGTGTACGTCACTGGATCATTCGATTCTGAAAAAAATCGTCTCCCAGCAGGCAGCAACGAATATTTCGGAGTAATCGCATAAGAGGATATGGTCAGCGCACTATTTGTTTTCTCTCTCTGGCCCAAGCGCAACATAGACAAAACGCAGAATAATTTTTTCTATGTTTTTAAGTAATGTTAGAGTAAAATCACCCATTACAATAAAGATAGAGAACAATATTTTTGAAGGAATGACATATCGATTTTATATTTTATTGTTAATTGACTTTGTATTCGACTTTCAAAATGGACAAAAATATGTTATAAATTTAAATTGTTTTGAGACAATATTTAAACAAATCGATATGTCATTCCCTCAAAAACATTATTCTCTATATTTTTTGTAATTGCTGATTTTACTCTAAGATTACTTAAAAACATAGAAAAATGATTCTGCGTAAATGAGTTTTGTCTATGTTACGCGTGGGCCAGAGAGAGAAAACAAATAGGGCTCTGACATTCTCTAAAACCTATATAGCCATATAGGTTTCAAATGACGGCGGAATTCTCCACGAATATAGGATGCTCAATAAATTTCTCATTTAATATCATATCGTGTATAGCCCCAGCCATGAGAAATGAGAAGAACAGGATACTACTTAGAATAAAGTGCACATTTTATTTTGCTTTTTTTGAGTTTTTTGTATATTTGTCATAGACCTTATGGCTTATAAGGTCTATGCTATTTATACTTTTTTGGTACATTTTTTCAAATTGTGCTCTAACCCTTAACTTGGTGTTGTATCTTTTTGGATACACAAAGTTTGTGAATTTTTGTACGGAATCCGATGTACAATATTTTTATTTTAGATTCTGAGCGGAGCGATGAATGTATTGGTTTTACAATGATGTATGTTTTTATATTAGATTCTCAGCGGAGCGATGAATGTATTGGTTTTACAATGATGTATGTTTTTATATTTTAGATTCTGAGTGAAACGATGAATGTATTGATTTTACAATGATGTGTGTTTTTTTTTTTATTTTTTATTTTTTTTTATTTTTGTGTCTGTCATCACGTTTTAGGACAGTAAAAGTGCTTGGATTTTCTTCATCAGTAGCTTTTCTGATAGGAAAGTGAATCTAGTTGGTACTTTGGGGGGTCAAAAGTATTAATTTCCCAGTAGTTTTCACAAGCGCCGAGAAAAACAATATAAAAATTAAGGAAAAACGGGAATTTTTACGCAAAATTGGTTTTCCAAAAAATCGATTTTGGTTTTTGGTGTAACTCTAAAACAAATGAACGTATATACATGAAATTTTCACTGGTTGTTTATATTTGCATTTTCTATACACGATAACATTTTCAAAATATTTGGATTTATTTTGAACTGTTTAGGGACATTTTCATTTTCCATTTTTTTTTAGTTTTTTTTCTAAAAATAGCAATAAAATTTTATTTGTTGGTTGCGAAAGCTTGAAAATTTAATAGAAGGCTCCTAATATATTGTTTCAAAGGCAGATGAAAAATATTAAAAATCCTTAGTCACAATTTTTTTTTATAAGCATTTAAAGTTCAAAAATTGACAAAATATGGAAAAATCACGAAAATTAGCAAATTATTTTGAGTTAAGAATTCGTAAAAATTTTTCTTTTTAAATCTAAGATTTGAAAATGAAACACAAGATTCCTTATAAGATTATCTACCTTTATCAATAAAAAAATCTCTACCGGACAGTCAAGTTAAATTTTTATGAGCGTTTGAAATTCAAATTTTTACAACATTGGATATTCACTCGATTACTCATGTAGCGATTTCTTTATTTTGTTGCAATTCAAAAACGAACAACTGTAGATACATGAAAATTTCACTGAATGTTTATATTGGCATTTCCTATACACCATACAATTTTGAAAATATTTTGACTCTTTTTGAGCTGTTTACGGATATTTTCATTTTTCATTTTTTTTAGTTTTTTTTTTCTATGAATATCAATAAAGTTTTATCTGTTGGGCCAAAAAGTGTAAACATTTAATACAAGGCTCCTGATATATTGTTACAATATCAGTTGAAAAATATTAAAAATACATAGGCACAATTTTTTTTTATAAGCATACAAACATCGAATTTTGACAGATTTTTTTAAAATCTCGAAAATTATTATAATCATCGTAATTAATAAATTATAAAATGTTCAGTTTTTATAGCTAAGGATTGAACATTTAAAACAAGATTCCACGTAAATAGTTAATTCTCTTACCGAAAAATCTAAAAAATATACAATCACAGTTTATTTTTATAGTAATTTTATGTTCAAATTTGGACGAAATTACATATTAAAAAACCTAGTTATTTTGTTGTGATTATATAATATTATTCGTGGGTATCTACTTGAAACTTCTAAAGTGTACTACCTATTATATATCTATGATAGTATCAGGGTTTGTTATTGATGTTGATGTATAACGTTTTATAAGTATCTAAAACCTAATGGATATTGTGATAATGTGATATGATTAACTTGGAATTTATTATAGGTCAATTTTTTTGTTAATACCATACATATGTATATACAATTTGTCTTAAACCTAGACTGACATACCGTCTTCGCTCAGAATCGTTTTTCTTATACAATGATATTATATCATTGAATTCAAATTTAATAGCATCCATTATACAGTGACCCACTTGTAACCTACTGTACAGCAGAGCGACATCCACTTACCCACCTTTTTTGTTATAATTTTTTGGAAATTTAAAGCCGATCAAACTCGTTGACTTCAACTGCCAATTTCATCAAATTTTAATGTGTTACTAGAATCAACTCAGTTAATCACTTTTATGTAAAGTTTCTAATAATATATGCAATAATGCTTATTTTATATCAATTTTAAAAGTATGTATCCTTTTAGATACATGAATATTAGTATTGGTTTATGGCTATGTATCTTTTAAGATACAATTCATAACTTTGAACTTTCAAGTCCAATATTTTTTTTGACAACATTTTTGAATTCAGCGACCTTAAATTAGTTTGAAAATATCTACTTTAAAATTTTCATTCTAATATTTTAATGCTTGACAAGTTAAGGGCTAAATAAACAAATTTAAAATGTTAATTTTTATTTGAAAACTTGAAAAGTTTTAATTGTCCAATTCAACTTTGATGATATGGGTAAAAAAAATTATTTTATAAATTATAACTATTATTTAGGTAATTTATTTTTTATAAAATATCTTAAATAGAATAAATTTAATTTACTGATTAATAATTGAGGAAGAAGGAAAACTCGAAGAAACAGGCTTGTAAATAAATTTATAATAATACTTTTTTTGTAATAAATATTATATTTTTAAAGAACCATTTTTAATG